GGGGAGAGAGGGTGGGGAGAGGGGGAGGGGAGCGGGGGAGGGGAGAGGGAGGGGAGGGGAGGGAGAGAGGGAATGATGATAAGAACGTTACCTATCCCTCTCTCTAATTCCAGTTTCGACACATCCTTTCACCATCCAGTTTATGGAAACTGTTACACCTTCAACGGGATTAACAACAGCTCCCAGTGGGAATCCTCCAAGGCCGGTAAAGACCACGGTGAGTGAAAACGAAGAGTAAAGCTGTCTGTACACTGTCCCCATCACACACTATCAGGACAGGGACAGCACGGGGTTAGACTCAGAATAAAGCTCACTCTCTCTCTCTCTCTCTCTCTCTCCCTCTCTCCCTCTCTCCCTTTGTGATGCCCAGGTCTGTCCCTTGTGCTCAGGATCGAACAGAACGATTCCATTCCCTTCCTGTCGACGGCAGCTGGAGCCCGCATGATGGTTCATGATCGGGGTCGCTCTCCCTTCATGGAGGACGGTGGCTTTGATATTCGCCCGGGACTGGAGACTTCCGTCAGCATGAGGAAGGTGAGGGAGGGAGCTCCTTATCTTCTCCGTCACCAAAGGTCACTGCCTCACACTCTCCCTCCCTGTCTCTCTCACCTCCTCCAGCCCGTACAGCCTTCCTATCTCTGTAACCCCACCCCACCCTTACCCCCACTCCACTCCTACCCCCCCTCCCCCACTCCCCCCTTTCTCCCCCTTCCCCTCTCCCAGTGTGCACTCCCTCTTCCCCTCTCCTCCCCCACCACGTGCTCTGTTTCAGCCTGGGTCTAATCTCTCTGTCTCCCACCCCCTCTGTCCCCGTTCCAGGAGGTGGTCTCTCGCCTTGGAGGGCCGTACAGTGACTGCACAGAGAACGGCTCTGACGTCCAAGTTCGTAACCTCTACAAATCCGACTACACCCAGCAGGTAACTGGGCTGCAGTGCTGCCTGTTCGCCTCTGTCTGTGGAGCTCTAATGATCGCCAGGGGACAGACCAGAGATTAGGTTTCCAAGCCTTAGTGAGGCCTGCAGGCCTCAGGCTTTCCAGCCTGTTGCTGAAATTTGGCATTACTAGGCCTCCAGCTTTACAGCCTGTTGCAGAAGTTGGCATTGCTAGGCCTCCGACTCTGGTGGCTTGTTGCTAAGGTTCGTGTTCCTAAGCCTCATCTCCTGGGCCTGTTGCAAAGGTTAACCTCCCTAGGCCTCAGGCTCCCAGGCCAGTTGCTGATGTTGGCCTCCCTCGACCTGAGAGTTTCTAGCCTCTTGTTAAGGTTGACATTCTTAGGCCTCAGGCTCCCGGCCTGTTGCTAAGGTTCACATTTCTAGGCCTCAGGCTGTCTGGCTTGTTCCTCAGGTTCCTAGTCCTTCTGTTGATGCTCTCAACATTGCAGTTTCCCAACACGCATTTCCACTCAGACCCTGACTGTTCTTCTCTCTTTTCCACCCATCACCTCCTCCAAAAGACTTGCGTCCGTTCTTGCTTCCAACTCACCATGGTTTCCCGCTGCGGCTGCGCCTACTATTACTACCCGCTGCCCACTGGAGCGGAGTACTGCAATTACAACAAGCACACTGCTTGGGGTAAGTGGGGCTTTAGTCATAGGCCCATATTACAAGCATGGTTAGTCACATATCCTGGAACGAGCTACAGCCCTTGTGGCCTGTTGCTAAGGAGCAGATGGGAGTTGGACAGGGTTTCAGGCCTGTTGCTAAGGAGAGAGGGAAATTAGCCAGAATTTTATGCCCACGCTAAGGATGAGATGGGACTTGGCCATGGACTTGGACCTGTTGCTAAGGATAAGATGATAGGTGGACTGGGTTTGGGAGCAAGGGCGAAGGATGGGACAGGAGTTAGTCAGGGCCTGAGGCCTGTGGCTAAGTTGATAGTTTGGGGCCTTTGCCAAGGATCAGCTGGGGGTTGGTCAGAACTTATGACCCAAGCTAAGGATGAGATAGAAGGTAGCCATGATTTTAGGTCTATTGCTACGGATTGGACAAGAGTTGGTGAGGGTTTGGGGCCTGTTGCTAAGAAGGGAGGGAAATTGGCCAAGGTTTCAGACCTGATGCTAAGGATCAGACGGGAGTTAGCCGGAGTTGGGGCCTATTGATAAGAAGAGAGCAAATTTGGTCATGGTCTTGGGCCTGTTGCTAAAGAGGGAGGAAAATTGGCCACCGTTTTGAGCTCAGGATGAGGGAGGAATTGGTCAAAGGTGATCAGGAAGAAGAGGTTTCCAGCTCACTTCTCTCGGTTTCCCTCATTCCCAGGACACTGTTATTACCGGTTGGCACAGGAATTCACTGACGATGTCCTCGGTTGTTTCAAAACCTGTCGGAAGCCGTGCAAGTGAGTACAACAGCGAACTGGGAAGCAGGCCTCAACCGGAATGCTGAGAGGGCGAGCACTGTTGGAGGTTCAGCGCTGAGGGAGCGGGCACTAGTGAGGGTCAGCGCTGAGGGAGCAGGCACTGTTGAAGGGTCAGTGCTGAGGGAGCAGGCGTTGTCGGATGGTCAGTGCTGAGTGATTATATTTAATCTAATTCTTGCTGATGTTTCCAGGCAAACTGAATATCAAATGACAGCTGGATATGCAAACTGGCCGTCAAAAAATTCAATGGTAAGTCTAACAAAATTAAATTGGCTAAAAACCCTCCTGTATTTGCAGACACGCGGTCTCTCTCCCTCACACAATCTCTCTCCCTCACACACACTCACTCTCTCACACACCCTTTCTCTCACACTGTCGCTATGTCACACACAACCTCTCACAGATGCTCTGTCTCGCTCGCGCGCTGTCTGTCTCTGCCTCTCTGTTGATGATGTTGTGTCCTTCTCTGTCCAACCACCAGAGCTGGATGAATCCTCTCTTCCAGAAACAAAACCATTCCGCCCCCTCGAACAGGTCAGTCACAGTGAATCTCTCTCTGTCTCCTCTTCTCTTTTTCTCTCTCACAGACTGTCTCTTGCTCTTTTTTCTCTGTCCTGCCCCCTCTCTGTCTTTCTGACCCACCCCTCCATCTTTCCGACTCACTCCCCGTCTTTCCCTTTCTCTCTCTGTCTGTCTTTCTGTCCCTCCCACCTCTCTCTCTTTCTCTCTCTCTCCCTCTCTCTTTCTCTTTCTCTCTCCCTCTCTCTTTCTCTCTCCCTCTCTCGCTGCCTCCCCCCCTCCACCCCATCCCCCCCCCTCTGTTTTTCTGTCTCTCTCTCTCTCCTCTCTCTCCCCCTCCCCCTCTTGCTGCCCCCCCCCCTCCCCCCCGTTCCCCCCCCCTCTGTTTTTCTGTCTGTCTCTCTCTCTTCTCTCTCTCTCTCTCTCCTCTCTTCTCTCTCTCTGTCCTCCCTCTCTCTCTGTCTCCCTGTCTCCGAGCCTGCCATTTGTTCACCCTCTCCCTCTCTCCCTCCTGAGCAGGAAGGAATTGGCCAAACTGAACCTCTTCTTCCGTGAGCTGAACTACAAATCAATGAGGGAGACCCCAGCAATGCCTGTGAGTTTCCCCAGCACCCTCTGCTTCGCGAGATCTCCCTGTGCTGTTTACCCCAGTGCAGGGCAGGAGGGGCTGTGACCAGAGGAACGTGTGACAGGAGGTGGCTGAGGGCTCCTGCAAAGCCTCAAAACCCAAGGCACCGATCTCTCTCTGTGTCGGGGTTATCGAGATGCGTTTTTGCCAGTTCTGGGAAGTGAAGGGGGTGGGCGGGAGGATTAAGTGCAGGGCAGTTGCGGAGGGGAGACGGAGGGGGCAGTCGGTTCCTCCCTTTGGTAGGGAGTCACAAGTAATTTCCGGTCTTGTCCTTCCCTCCTCCCTCCCCCCTCCACCCCCCACCGCCATAGGTGGCGCTTATGCTCGCCAACTTGGGAAGCCAATGGAGTCTCTGGCTTGGATCTTCCGTCATGTCTGTCCTGGAGATGGTGGAGCTTGCCTTCGACCTCATCGCCCTCGCCGCCATCTTGCTTTGGGCCCGCCCTCCAGGGCCGTCCGCCGAGGACACCGCCCGTCCCTCAGACCCTATCCCTCATGTCCCCCCCTCATTCTTCTAAACACCAATGAGTACGGACCTGACCTCTCCCTGATAAGACAGTTCCACAAACCCCCCGGGATCAGCTGAGTGAACCTTCTTTGGACTGCCTCCAATGTCAGTCCATATAGTTTCAGATACCAGGCCCCAAAACTGTTTGTGATATCCCAGCCTTGTAGAGCTTCAGCAAAACCTCTCCCTACCTTATACTTCATTCCCTCGGAACCAACAGTCGATTTGCCTTCTCAATTCAGAGGCTGAACATGGGCACTAGGTTTTGTGACTTTATGTACCAGTTCACCCCAAAACCCTCTGTCCCGCAGCTTTCCGCAGTGTTTCACCTTCTAAATAATATCCAGCTCCTCTATTCTTCCGGTCAAAGTGCGGGATTCGTCAAACACTCTCCGCCTCAAAATGACTGGAGCAGGCAGCAGATTTGGAGGGACAACAGTTTGAGGATGAGGCATGATGTGATGCTGGGATCAAAATTTGGCGAGTGATATTGTTTCACTGAGGAGGGGGGAAGGGAAGGGAGGGGGGATAAGGGGGGGTGTGAGAGAGAGGGAAGGGGAAGAGAGAGAGAAAAAGAGGGAGGGAACGAAGGGGGAGGGAGAGAGAGAAAGAAAGAGGGAGGGAGGGAGAGGGAGGGAAGGGGGGAGGGAGAGGGAGGGAAGGGGGGA